AAAAAAAAAAAAAAAAAAAAAAAGTCCAACCCGATAGAAAAGTATGCCACCACCTTTTATTGCTTATTTTTCTTAATTTCTTTTCAGCTTTAAAATTTTATGTGTATTAAGTGTTTTGCCTATATGTGTGTATATGCACTGGAATTGAACCCAGGTCCCGTGATTTTAACTGTTGAGACAATTCTCTAGCCCCTGCTTATTTTTCTTTAGTGTTGATTGTTTAAAGCAAATTATTTTTGAAACTTAGTGTATGGAAAAATACTTTTATAATCAATGCAGGTTATTAAAAGGAATAATATCACATTTTATTTATATTTAGTTTGCTTGACTGACTTCTAATTTTTGTTTTAAATAGGAACTATTGTGAGCATAGGTGATCCTAAGAAAAAATACACAAGATATGAAAAAATTGGACAAGGGTAAGTTTGATTCTATTGATACGATACTCAGTACTCATGGATATACAGAATCTACCCTCTGACACTGAACACTTCACTATTTTGGGTGGTACCTTGGGAGATTGTGTAAATAGAAACTGTACTTCTAACTGGGATATAACGATGCATACTTGCAACACCATCACTTGAGATGCTGTGGCAAGATTGTTACAGACTGGAGCCCAGCCCATAGCCTGACCCTGTCTCAGAAAATAAATAGACTGAGCCTTTAATCCCAGCACTCAGGAGGCAGAGGCAGGCGGATCTCTGTGAGTTTGAGGTCAGCCTGGTCTGCAGAGCTAGTGCTGCTACACAGAGAGACCCTGTCTTGAAAAACCAAAAAATAAAATTAAATTAAAATTTAAAAATAAAAGTAATCCAGCACTGATTAGTAGTAACTTTGTATTGTCTGTCCTCCCTCTCCCTCTTTCTCTCTCGCTGACCCTCATCTCTTCTCACTTCCTCCGTCATCATCGTTATCTTCAACAAAGTTCCCTGTGTAGCCCAGGCTGATCCCACGCTCACTGTATAATCCAAGTCTTAGTAATTGTCTGTCCTTAGCTTCCCCAGTGCTCGGACTAAAGGTGTGTTTCGCCATGTGTGGCTTTCATTGCTTTTTCCTGTATATCATTTTCCATAGGTGGTGAGGTAGAAAAATTGCACATATATAATGTATTTTAAAGACAGTTTATTTATTATTTATTTGCTTACTGTTTTATTTCCAATCTTTTTTTTAAGATTTATTTATTATGTATACAGTATTCTGGATATTCTGTCTGCATGCATGCCTGAAGAATGCACCAGATCTCATTACAGATGGTTGTGGCCACCATGTGGTTGCTGGGAACTGAACTCAGGACCTTTGGAGGGGCAGGCAGTGCTCTTAACCACTGAACCATCTCTCCAGCCCTTATTTCCAATCTTAATTTAACACTGATTTTAATAACAAAAAAATAGAAAGTCACCATTTGTTTTCAGTGCTGGAGAGTAACTCAAGCCTGGGCAAGGGCTTTACTACTGAGCTACATCTCAGGCTTCCTACCTTTGTGTTTTTACATAATTGATAAGTTACACAGTAATAGGGATGAATGAACAAGAATAATACTTAGGAATAACAGTCACAGATTGAGTGTTGAAATTGCAGAGTGCTGAGATTAAAGGTGTGTGCCAACATGCCCGGCCACTTAAGCATAGAAGGAGATTTTTGAGGATGTGCTGTTTTCTACTACTGCTGCTTCTCTCCTTCTCCTACCTCTTCTTCCTCCTCCTCCCCTCCCCCCTCCTTTCTTCTTTCCTTTTAGTTTTATAGGTCTGAAAAATTTGTGTTTGAGTTTTGGCCACAAGGATCGCCTCACTGTTTTCTCCCCTCTTTTCGTTTTAGGAGTATTAGTCTAAGATGTTGAATCAGTTGTTCAAAGCCTGAAGTGTTTGAATACTGTAACTGGTGTAACTTAAGAACTTAATTGTATTCTTTTTTTTTTCTCTTCCTACAGGGCTTCAGGTACAGTTTTTACTGCAACTGATGTAGCACTGGGGCAAGAGGTAGCTACTGTTTAAGTCTTCATGTTAACTATTCGTGTAGGGAGAAGGAATAATGAATAGAACCATGTTGTGGGTCATGGTGTGTATATGCTTATCTGTACATAAATGTGTAGTAACCAGAGGCTATCCTCACCAAATAAGTGAGGTTGGCTGACCAAGGAACCAGGGGATCTGTCTATGTGGACTTCCCCAGCTCTGGATGTATGGATACGTGCCACCACAAAAGATTTTGGGATGGAAGGAACTGAGATCTTTGTACTTGGAAGTGCTTTAGCAGCTGACCTGTCTCCTCAGCCCTAGAATGTAATGTATTAGAAGAATTGATCTAATTCTTATAATAATTAGCGACAGTTATTATGTTAGGGGAAAAAAGATGAATTTGTACAGGATCATGAATAAGGAAATACTTTTAAATATTTGCTAGTTTAGAATTTTTAAAAAGTAATTCCTTGTATAGATTGACCTTCATCTAGGGTCAGTGAGGTAGCTCAGCAGGTAAGTCACTCACCAGCACAGAGCCCACACAGAAAACAAACAATTTCATTTTAAAATGTTTTAAATACAAATTCAAATATAGTTTAGAACTATATCACAAAACATTGTAGCTAGGCAGTATACATGTAAAAACATCATGTATGAGTAGGTCACAATCTCACTATGTAAGGTATACATATATAACTAGCTAATTGGTGCTTGTAACTCTGTCAGAGAATTAGGAATGCTGTTTTGATGTTTCAAATATGTTTCTATTATAGGTTGCTATTAAGCAGATTAACTTACAGAAACAACCAAAGAAGGAATTGATCATTAATGAAATTCTGGTGATGAAAGAATTAAAGAATCCAAACATAGTCAACTTCTTGGACAGGTAAATATGAATATTTTCTTGAAAGTTGAGATCAGCTCGGGGTAGTGATTCATGACTGTAACTCTAGCATTGGAAGACGAGAGTGAGTGAAAGTCAGAAATGAGAAAGGGAGGCTGAAGAAATAGGTCGTGCTCTTCATGAGCACATACCCAGCATACCAACTTCCTGTGACTCTACTTCCTCTTTGGGCCTCTGTTAACACTCACATAGTGCATAGTGCTCAGTGAGGCAAACATACACATAAATTACATAAATAAATCTTAAAACATAAAAAATGAAAAACATACATTGGGATAAAAATATGGGCATTTGTGGTTGGAGAGATGACTAAGCAATTAAGAGCCCTTGCTGCCTTTTAGAGGACCAAGGGTTGATTCCCAGCACCCACATAATGGCTTATCCCTACCTGTGACTCTGGTTCTAGGGCATTCAGCTCTCTCTTCCAGTCTCTGCATGCATGCATACATGTAAGCAAGACACACAAAACAAATTTAACAATTAGTACTTACTGTCTTCAAAAAACAAAAGCAAAAACCCAGAAATTTGTAGTTTCATTATTTGGTACAAGCATAGCATTTTAGATTGAGATGCCCCTGCTGAAAAGAAAGTCAAAAAGAGGAGGGGAAGAAAGGTGAAAATTGCACACTGCAGTCGAGGGCCTTTCTGAAAGGACCTCCCTTGACAAACGAGAGGACATTTCCATGAAGGATGGCCGGCAGTGCTGTGTTCATTGAAATGAGCAGAGCAGAGACACTAAGGATGGCTGGCTATGACTCATGCTGTGATCTCAGAGATGACTAGCCACACAGTTTTTAAACTGTGAGTACAGTTTTTGTTTTATATAACCCAGGAAAGCCTCAGGCTTGCCATATGCCTGCTTTGGTCTCTGGAAGCTGGGGTTATAGCATTATTAGATAATTAGTGAATGATAGCATAGGTTGCATTAGAGATAATAGATTAAAGATGGTTTTCTTCTGTATTTAAATTTGCTTAGAATAGGGGAAAGATAATATGAGACTTTAATCCTTATTTGTAAAGACTCTATTAAAAGAAACAAAATTTTCAGGTTCATTTCCTTGCTTGCTTTTTGGAATCTCTTTATTTTTTGAAATTATAATTATATCAATTATCCCATCTCCTTTTAAGAACTTTTTATTTATGTGTATGTGTGTGCCTGCTTGTCTATGTGCACTAATTTACACGATGGTACTAGAGAGGCCAGAAGAGTGTCAGACCGAAGACTGGAGTAGAGAGTCACTATGAGCCACTGGTGTGGTGTTGGGACAAACTCTGGTCCCCTCTCATTCTCCAGCTGGAGAGATGACTCAGTGCTTAGGAGCACTGGCTGCTCTTCCAGAGGTCCTGGGTTCAATTCCAAGCACCCACATGGCAGCTAACATTGTCTCTAACTCTATTCCTAGGGGATCCAGCACCTTCTCTTGCCTCTAGGCTGTTCTTCCGTGCACAGACACACACACAGAGGCAAAACATCCATATACATAAATTAATTTTTAAAAATTTTAAATAAATTCCCCATCAACATAGAATGAAAGTTTAGACAAACCCTAAACTCTGGGGTCATTGATTTGTTTGGCTTAGGATTTTGTTCTTGTCAGTAACTATCTGTGTGACCTTGGATGAGTTACTGAACATTTTCCAAATCTCCCACTTTGTTTGCCTTCCCTCACCCCACACAAACATACAAGGGGGAGAATCTTATATTTTCTTTTTGTTTGTTTGTTTGTTTTTAATTTATTTATTATGTATACAGTATTCTCAGTATTCTGTCTGCATGTATTCCTACAGTCCAGAAGAGGGCACCAGATCTCACTACAGATGGTTGTGAGCCACCATGTGGTTGCTTGGAATTGAACTCAGGACCTTTGGAAGAGCAGGCAGTGCTCTTAACCACTGAGCCATCTCTCCAGCCCTTTTTGTTTGTTTTTTGAGAGAGGGTGTTTGAACTTGCAGCTTCCTACCTTAGTGACTACCTAGCTTGCCTCAATGAAATAATTTTCTCTATTTATTGATTGATTGATTGGCAATTCTTATATTGAATTTTTTGGGGTTTTGGTTTTTGGTTTTTTTTTTTTTTTGGTTTTTTTGAGACAGGATTTCTCTGTAGCTTTGGAACCTGTCCTGGAACTAGCTGTGTAGACCAGGCTGGCCTCGAACTCACAGAGATCTGCTTGCCTCTGCCTCCCGAGTGCTGGGATTAAAGGCGTGCGCCACTACCGCCCAGCCAATATTTGGCTATTCTAATTGCTACAACAGATTCATACACTCAAACAAATAATGTAGACAAGCTATAACATTAAAATGATCCTAAAACTTTTTTTCTGGCTTTCATTTGTTTTGTTTGAGACAGAGTCTATATAGCCAGCCCTTCTGGCCTCATTCAGGGCAATCTTGGTAACTGCTTCCTGAGTATTAGGATTGTAGATGTCTACTACCTCACCCAAATGAGGACTTCTTAATTTTTTTTTTGTTTCATTTTTTTGATTTTTTCAGATAAGGTCTCACTACATAGATCTGGCTGTTCAGAAACTGACTGTGTAGACCAAGCTGGGCTCAAACTCACAGAGATCTAGTGGAGTTAAAGGTCTGCACACCACACTCAGCTCAGAACATCTTAATTTGTGCTGTTGTACCTGTCAAGTGCTCTTCCTAGTTCTCAAACTGTGGGTTCTTTGGTTTTATTACATTGTGTTTGGCATTTTAATTCCACAACACAGAGAGCCATGTTCTTAGAAAAAATAAAAACACGCGTGTATTTTCTTCTGTTTCTAGTTACCTGGTAGGAGATGAGTTGTTTGTGGTGATGGAGTACCTTGCTGGTGGCTCACTCACTGATGTTGTAACAGAAACCTGCATGGACGAAGCGCAGATTGCAGCTGTGTGCAGAGAGGTGGGTTTGCAGCCTTTGATGTTAGGGTATGCACTTAGCCAGGGTGAAGAAAGAAAATTTTTTTGTGTGCAGAGACTTTTTCTCTGTATACTTTTTGTGGTTTGTTTATTTGTTTGTTTCTGTTATTTCATCCAAGATAAGAGCTTCAATCCTGCTGGGTGTGGGGGTGCATAGGGAGAACTCCATAAATTGAGGCCAACCAGGATGCAGAGTGAGACTGTCTCCCATAAAAACAAAAAGAACGTTAGCCCTTTCCTTCCTGTGGAAGATAATTTGGGAACAAGACATGGTCCTGTGAGGTATAGAAGTCACAGGCAGACTTCAGCAGTGTGATTATCATCCAGATAGGACGCTTTCCAGAGGAGAATGGGATACCATTGAAAAATGTGTGAATCAGTAGTAGAATCTAGAACCAATGTTACAAACAAGATCAAGATGTTTATGCTTACAAATCTGTGCAGTGCCCCTAGCTTTAGTAAGACCACTGAAAGTGAAGTAACTAGTTATTTACGTACATATTTTTAAGTTTTATTACATTTTTACTGTATGTGTATACATACGTGTGGGCATGTGCATACCATGACACATACATGGAAGTCAGGACAGCTTGTGGGAGTTTGTGCTGAGTTCACAGGACTCTGTTGGCTCTCTGTGGTTTGATGCAAATGTGAACTGGAAAGATTGCTGCATATAGGAGGTCTTTTTCAGCTTGTACCAAAGGTGATTAAAACACGATTCTGAGAAAATATCAACTGGCTGCAATGTTAAGACAGGGCCTCATGTGAATCCTGCTGGCCTCAAACAATGTGCAGGAGGATGACCTGGATGAGATCCTCGAATGCTGGAATTACCGTGTGCACCACTATGCCCAGGCGTCACGCAGTGCTGGAGTTCTACCCATGACTTCATGTACTCTACCAGCTGAGCTCTGTAATAGTTCCAAAGAGCATAATCCCTTAAAGGGTATGCTGGTCACTTAAAAGCTGGCTAAAATTTAAAATTTGTGTTTCGTTGGTTTTTCTAGCACTTCTCAGTTGATCTCACAGTTTTAGAAGTTCTGTTGTCCAGTCACTTTGATCTTATGTGCCAGGATAATTTGTATAAATATTTTCCAGCCCTTTTTCCTTCCCAAGAAACTGATTAGGTATACTGAGATAGATCTATCTCTCCCCTCTCCCCAAATGAGCAGTTGATAATCAGGCATGGTGATGCACCTTTAATCCCAGCAGAGAGGCAAGAGGATCTGAGTTCAAAGCCAACATGGTCTACAGAGCAAGTTCCAGGGCAGCCAAGAATACAGACAGACACTGTCTCAAAAAGCAAAAAAAAAAAGAGTAGTTGAGATTTTTAGTTATTATAATTGGTAGATAAAGTTTGTTCTACTCTGATGGGAATAATAAAAATACAATTGACATTTCTCAGATTTACAATTTAGAGTCTCCTTTGGGATAAGATTTTTAGTTGCTATAAATGGTGCATAAAACTGGAAGGGGGGCACACACCTTTAATCCTAGCACTCGGGAGGCAGAGGCAGGCGGGTGGATCTCTGTGAGTTCGAAGCTATCCTGGTCTACCAGAGCTAGTTCCAGGACAGGCTTCAAAGCTACAGAGAAACCTGTCTCGAAAAACCAAAAAAAAAAAAAAAGGAGGGGTGTGTGTGCATAAACTTTATTACAGTCTGATGGAAATAATAAAAAATACAACTGATTTTTCTCATATTTACAATTTACAGTCTTCTTTTATATCTAAAAACACTGGACCAGGTTTTATTTTGTTTGAGGTATTATTTATTTTGTGTGTATGGGTATTTTGTCTGCATATTATGTGTTGGTTTGCATGCAGTACCTGAGGAGGCCAGGAGAGGGCTTCGGATCCTCTGGGGCTGGAGTTACAGTTGCCCTGCTGTGAACCCCGGCTGTCTGGAAAAGCCACCAGTCCTCTTAGTGGCTGAGTCGTTTCTGTATCCCTTGAAAATCTCATTTTCTGTTTAAGGAAGGGAGAAACTTTGTCTTTTATACTCAGTGCATCAGGAAAGTTTGTTTATTTATTTATTTTTACTTTTATGTCCATTGGTTTTCCCCTGCATGGTTGTCTGTATGAGGGTGTAGGATCTTGGAGTTACAGACAATTGTGAGGTGCTGGGAATTGAGCCCGGGTTCTCTGGAAGAGCAGTCAGTGCTCCCAACCACTGAGCCATCTCTTCACCCCCAGAAAGTTACTTTTTATACTAAGGATTCTTTTTTGTTTTTGAGGTGCTGGCATTGAAGCCCAGAGCCTCGTGCACTGAACCCTACCACTGCCCTCTCCTTTTTTCAGACCATGGATATAGTTTAATATAAACTCCACTATGAAAGCATGAAGACATTAGCTTAGACCTCAGTAAAACCCTGAACAGGGCCAAACTACCCAAATCTTCACTACTTAGTTTGTGACTTTGAGGTAGCTATGGTTCTAATGGGAATAATCACAGATTTACTCTGTGTATGTGGAGGGAGGAAAAGGAGAGAGAAGAAGGTCTTACTGTGTAGCTCTGCCTACCCTTATAAAAATCCTCCTTCTTCTGCCTCCTAAGGGCTGAGACTAAATGCTGGGACCTCCATGCCTCTGCCTGGTCACAATCCACTTAAGGTTAAGATAATTTCTCAAAAGCCTTTCTGTGCTTACCAAGTGCAGTGTAACTTTACGCGTTTAAGCCTGAAAAGGCCTAGAAGTTAAATAGGCCCAGTCATCATTTTATAAGCAAAGCTACTGAAGACTGAGTGTTGAAAACCAGTGGGAAGATGGCACAGTAGTTACAAATGCTTCCTGAGCTTCCAGAGGACTGGAGTTTAGTTTCTAGCACCATGTCTGGCAACTTTCAACTGCCTGTAACTCCAGCTTCAGGGGATCCCATTCCCTCTTCTGACCTCCAAAAGCACTGAACCTGGTGTACAACTACCCTTCCCACACACACGAAAAAAAGTAAAGTGTTATTAAAAAATCGGTGGGGATAAAGTCTCCAGGTATGGTGACTTGTACCTGTAGTCCTGGCACTTTGTGAGGCTGAGGCAACAGGGTTACTAGGAGCTCAGAGCCAGCATGGGATACAAAACAAAAACCCTATCCTGTCCACCTACTCCTCAGGAAAATAGATGAGACATTATTTAATACGCCTGGAATAATAAACCATCTCTGTAATCCCAGCACTGTGGAAGTAGAGGCATGGGGATCAGGAGCTCTGAACATTCTCTGCTACACAGTAGTGTTCAAGGGCAGACAATGGGAGACAATTTTTCTTTTTTGAGGCTATTTATTTATTTGTTCGTTCATTCATTCATTCATTCCTCAGAGACAGAGTTTCTCTGTGTAGACGTAGCTGTCCTTGAATTTTCTGTAGACCAGGATGAACTCAAAATTCAGAAATCCACCTATCTGCTTCTTGAGTGCTGGGATTAAAGGCCTGCGCCACCAATGCCTAGCTGCTTTTCTTGTTTTTTTTTTTTTTTAAACAGTGTTGCTTTGTACAGCCCAATTTGGGCTGTCCTGAAGCTCTCCCTTCTCCTCCCTCAGCCTCCCAGTGCTGAGATACAGGCATGTTAGATACATCATGCACAGCCAAAGCTGTAGTTTTTGTTTGTTTTTCTTTCTTTGCAGGTGAAAGGACATCTTTTCTCTCCCAATGTTAAATCTTGGAGGGCTTCTACCAGGCAGAGCAGTGTGCCAACCCTCGCACTGTGTGTGACCTCTCTTGAACTTGTTGGGTCGTTTCATTGATAGGTGTTTTCTCTGTTTAGTGTTTACAGGCCTTGGAGTTTTTACATGCTAATCAAGTGATCCACAGAGACATCAAAAGTGACAATGTGCTTTTGGGAATGGAAGGCTCAGTTAAACTTAGTGAGTAGCAATGAAGTGACATTTCAATGTATCTGTGATTGGCTGTGAAGGAAGGGTGGTGGCTTGTTAAATGTGCCTTGTGAGTCCAGCAACTTGTGTTCTTAGCAGACCTACTGCTTGAGGAGTATTTTGAGCAAATCACTTTGTATCCCTTTGTTTTGTTTTGTTTCATAGGAACAATAAGAAAAATACTAATGTTGGAAATTATTTTTGAAAATTAAAATAAAACAAAGTGATATCCAGAGGATCGTTGTCTGGGCTACCCTGATAGGATTCTTCTCTGTAGGAAATGTGATTGGGTATAATTTTCTGGAGTGTTTTCTCAGCCTGCCCCTTCACCCTCACGAAAAGTTTGGAGACTGTCTGACCAGAAAAAGACCTTGTGTGACCTTGACCTCAGGGTGAGGGGAAATAGGTCTCCGGGGCTGAACTGTGGTGACACTCCTTGAACTCAGAGATCCACCCGCCTCTGCCTCCCAAGTGCTGGGATTAAAGGCGAGCGCCACCAGTGCCCAACCTCGCTCATATTTTTTATACGAAGTAAAATTAAAGGCTAAGGGTCACAAGTTCACAGTCAGTGGATGCCAATAGACATGGTAGCACATACTGCAATCTCAGCAATCAGAAGGCTGAGTTATAGGAGGCTCACAAATTCAGGGTCATTTTAGGGGAAGTTTTTTCTTGTTATTTTTGTTTTTGTTTTGAGACAGGGAAGCACTATGTAGTTCTGTCTGTGCTGGCACTCACTGTGTAAGCCAGAGTAGCCTCAAATTTACAGAAATACCTGCCTCTGCTTCCTGGGATTAAAAGGCGTGTGCCACTGTGACTAGCTTTCAAGGTCATTCCTGACTACGTTTTGCGTTCAGAGCCGTCCTAGGCTATTTGAAACCCTGTCTGAATAAAACCTAAAAAATAAGGTTTAACCTTATTAAAAGAATAGTTTTAACAACAGAAGGAAAGAAAAGAATTATAAATTCTCATCCCAGCTAGTGTAATATCAGGTACTACAGTAAGTATCTTGTTCCTTGAACGTAAATGAGACAGTTGGAGCACCTTTCCTGTGCAGTTACAGTTAAGTATGGTCTTTTTCTAGGCCTTCTGCTGAGTTGGATGCATAATAATTCCAGCTTTAGCTGTTCTTTAAAATTCTTGCTGGCCAGGTGGTTCAGTCAGTAAAGGTGTTTGTTGTCAAGCCTGGCAACCTGAGTTCGGTTCTTAGAACCCACATGTTGAGAGAAAACAAACTCGTGAAAATTGTCCTCTGGGGCTGGAGAGATGGCTCAGAGGTTAAGAGCACTGGCTTTTCTTCCAGAGGTCCTGAGTTCAATTCCCAGCAACCACATGGTAGCTCACAACCACCTATAATGAGATCTGGTGCCCTCTTCTGGCATGTAGGCACACATGCAGATAGAACATTGTATACATAATAAATAAGTAAATCTTTAAAAAAACAATTGTCCTCTGAACTCCCACGTGTTCTGTGACACATGCACCCCGCATACTCAAATAAATGTTAAAAAACATAAATATTAAAAAACATAAATATTAAAAAACATAAATATTAAAAAAAATAAATATTAAAAAACAGCAACCTGTACCGAGCAGTGGTGGTGCACATACCTCTAATCCAAGCACTCAGTAGGCGGAGACAGGCAGATCACTGTGAACTAGTGGCCAAGTTGCTCTATAGAGTGAATTCCAGGACAGCCAGAGCCGTTTCCTAGAGAAACCCTGTCTCAAAAAAATAAAACAAAATAAAAAAAGAAAGAAGGGAGGGAAGGAAAAAAGAAATTAATTCAGTTTCCATGTCCTGAACATTGCTAGATTTAATCATTGCGTTTAGGTTTTTGGGTTTGTTTATTTGGTTTGGTTTTTTGAGACAGGGTTTCTCTCTGTGGCCCTGACTGTCCTGAAACTCAGCGAGATCTACCTGCCTCTGCCTCCTGAGTGCTGGGTTTAAAGGCGTGCACCACCAGTTTCTGGCTCGCTGCATTTAGTTTTATTGTTCACCTTGGATAATTTTTTTTCTTTCTTTTTCTATTTTCTTTTCTTTTTTTGGATAATTTTTTTTACCACTTTTTCTTTAGAATTAGTTATTAAGAAGAAAATACCTGATAATGTGTACTTTGTTGTCAAAAGTAAATGTGAAAATTACTAGTAAATAATGTCCTCAAATTTTGAACTCACTCTCCTTCATTTTCACATTCTTTCCAGAGAAGGGGGTGGGTGATGGGATGCAGCCATGTCTGCTGACATGAACTGATGAAGCATCCCTTGATGCCATTAACCCTGGTACTCTGCTTTCTTCTGTAGCTGACTTTGGCTTCTGTGCCCAGATCACCCCTGAGCAGAGCAAACGCAGTACTATGGTTGGAACGCCGTACTGGATGGCACCAGAGGTGGTTACACGAAAAGCCTATGGCCCCAAAGTTGATATATGGTCTCTGGGCATCATGGCTATCGAGATGGTTGAAGGAGAGCCGCCATACCTCAATGAAAATCCTCTGAGGGTAAGACTAATGAAGCACTAGCTTTACTGTAAGAAAACACTGTGCTTCCCTTCTTTAAAAGGGCTTTACATTTCTTTGTTTGTTTGTATGAGTGGAAGGATATGTGCCATAGCATGTTGAAGGTCAGAGGACAACTTGTGGGGATGGCTTCTCCCCTTAACTCTTAGGCTGTCAGACTAGGCAGCAAGTGTCTTTACCTGGTGTCATCACTCAGGCCAAGGAAGAAGTACTTTTCTTCAAAACATACTATGTACTTGTTTGTGTCAACCATTGGAAAAGAATTTAGAATATGGTTGGTGAGATATAATCTCTTTTCCTGTATCTAAAAATTATATTGCCTCTGAATTAAAGTGTAGAGTTCAAAAGTTTGTAGATTTTGGGTAGTGAGTCAAACAGTTTTGTCTATGTGAATGTAATCGCTTTTCTTCAGAGCTGAAAAACCTTAGATAGTTTTTTCTTTGTTGTGTGTAGAGAGTGCTTTGTAGCTGAGGATGACTGAATTTCTGATTTTCCTGCCTCTGGAAAACACTGGGCATGCAGAAGTGTACCAACCACCCAGTTTTATGTGCTGTGGAGAACCGGACCCATGGCATCATGCATGCTAAACACACTATTAATTGAGCCATATCCCCGGCCCATTAGGTACCTTTTCCTACACATTTAGGTATCCTGGATATAGCAAGGTTATCACCAATGAACCTTGGCTGCTATGTCCCAAAGATGAGAAAAGTTAGATCTCTGAGGTAAGATGCTTAATGGTAAAGTTAAAATCTGTATTCCAACAAAAGAATAGACTGAGCTGAGTATTTTAGGAGCTGAGGGATGGATTCTACCACTGTTTCCACCCTTCAAATTTCCTAACAGTAGCTCAGGCCTATAATGTGGCATCAAGAGGCTGAGGCGGGAGGATAGCCACAAGTTTGAAGCCATTTTCATCTACATAGTGAGTAGCCAGAGCTACAAAGCCAAGATGCTGTCTTAAGAGAAAAGGGGAGGGTCAGGAGAGATGCTCAGTTAAGAGCATTGGCTGTTTTTACAGAGGACCAGGATTAGGTTTCTAGCACTCACATGGCAATTCACAACCATCTATAACTCTAGTTTAAGGAGCTACAACATCCTTTTCTGGCCTCCGCAGGCTCTAGATATACAGACACATGATATACAGACAAAATAACCATACACATGAAACATAGTAAAATTTAAAGAGAGAGAGAGACAGGTGAGTGGGGTTATTATCTAGTGTGAACCTTTGCTTTGCTACAATAAAATTAACACTGATCTAGTCAGTGAAATATATCCTGGAATAAGAAAAGGAGACTAGCCAGTTGGTGATGGAGCACCTTTAATTCTAGCACTGATGAGGCAGAGGCAGGCAGATCTCTGTGAGTTTGAGCCAGCCTGGTCTATAGAGTGAGTTCTAAGATAGTCAGGGCTACACAGAGAAACTGTCTCGAGCCACCCTCCCCATCTCACCCCCCAAAAAGTAAAAAAAAAAAAAGAAGGAGAATAAATGGAGTAGGGGAACCTTGCATGAAAGACTCTTGATTGGGAACACTACGAACCTATATGAGTTAGTAAGTGGTATTTTTACCTTATTTGGGTTTTTTCTTTGTGTGCTTGGGGCTGAGGCACTGTTAAGCTCAGCCTGGCCTAGAGCTTGCTGTGCATAGACCATGTAAGCCTCCTGCCTCTTCATTTGGAATGCTGAGATCTGTTGACTGATATCTCTGTCCCACCAGGTCCCACAGCCGTTTAGTCCCAAATAAGTACACAAATGTCTACATTAGTCATAAACTGCGGGGCTGGAGAGATGGCTCAGTGGTTAAGAGCATTGCCTGCTCTTCCAAAGGTCCTGAGTTCAATTCCCGGCAACCACATGGTGGCTCACAACCATCTGTAAAGAGGTCTGGCGCCCTCTTCTGGCCTGCAGACATACACACAGACACAATATTGTATACATAATAAATAAATAAATAAATAAATAAATAAATAAATAAATAAATAAATGAGAAAAAGAGTGCACAGCCGAAGGGCTTTGCATGCAGGATGGATGCATGGGTGGATGCATATGTATCGACAGACAGACAGACAGATGGACAGACAGACAGTCATAAACTGATTGGCGCATTAGCTCAGGCTTCTTATTAACTCTTATAACTTAGATTAGACCATAATTCTTGTCTGTAATAGCCACATGCCTTGGTACCTTTTTCAGCAAAGCAGTCACATCTTCCTCGCTCTGTCTGGCTTCCTCTCTCTGGATGACAACTGTAGACTGAAATTTCCCTCTTCCCAGAATTCTCGCTGCCACGCTTCTACTTCCTGCCTTGTCGCCCCACCTATACTTCCTGCCTGGCTACTGGCCAATCGGTGTTTATTTAAAAATACAAGTGACAGAGTACAGACCATTGTTTCATAGGAAGATTCCATGCCCAGTTTAAGCAGATGTCAGTTTTAAGGGATGTCAGACAAAATGGTTTTTTCTTTTTGCTTTTACAAAGTGGTTTCTCAGGAGATGGAGCGATGGCTTAGCAGTTACGAGCATTGCCTGCTCTTCAAAGGTCCTGAGTTCAATTCCCAGCAACCACATGGTGGCTCACAACCATCTGTAATGAGGTCTGGCACCCTCTTCTGGTCTACAGGCATATACACAGACAGAACGTTGTATACATAAGAAATAAATAAATATATTTAAAAAGTGGTTTCTCTGTGTAACAACCCTAGCTGTCCTCAGCTTTAGACCAGGCTGGCCTTGACAGCAAAGTGCTTTTCAGGCATGAGGCCCTGGGTTCTATCCCCACACAACAGGACATGATGAACACTGGGGGGATCAGAGAGACCTGGGACTTGGTGTTGTCACAGAATCGCTGGCATTGGGGTACTAAGAGTGAAAAAGATGAGCTGTAGCCAGATGGTGGTGGCACATACTTTCAATCCCAGCACTTAGGAGGCAGAGACAGGTAGATCTCAATAAGTAGACAAACCCTGTCTAGAAAAAAAAAAAAAGAAGAAGAGCTGCGAGTAAATCAGTTACTGCAGTCAATAGTCCTGGAAGGTGTGCCCATAGCATACATCTGAGGAAGCATCAGGGGGGAAAAGATGAGGGACTGCAACATGCTTCTCTGTGGCTGCTGAAAACACCACAGGTTAGGACAGGACATCACATGAGAGATGGCCATGTAAAGAGCTATAGTGAAGGAGTAGGGAGGAGCTGCCTGGGTGTTGAAACAAAGACCCTTGCACCGTCAGAGCATGAGTTAGGAGGAGGTGGTGAAGGTCTCAGATCAGCCTCTGGTTCCTGAGTTGTGGGAAAGAAGGCAGCTTGCCACTGGGGAGTACAGGATGGAAGAGGCCGGAGTATGAAACTCGATGTACTATCATTTTGTGAGTGGCTTTAATATGCCAAAATGTTTTATTTTTTAGGCTTTGTACCTGATAGCAACAAATGGAACTCCTGAACTTCAGAATCCAGAAAAACTTTCTCCAATATTTCGGGATTTCTTAAACCGGTGTTTGGAGATGGATGTGGAGAAAAGGGGTTCAGCCAAAGAACTGTTACAGGTAAATTTGGTGAAGGTAACTTTTGGAGGATGAACTTCCTAGTGCTGATGCTTCCCTTTTCACTTGCCACATGCCCAGCAGTTGCTTTACTTTAGGCTTTCGTTTCTAGCAATAAAATTATTAAAAAAAAAAACCAAAAAACAAAAAAACTTAATTGTGGTGGCCAGGCAGTAGTGGCACACACCTTTACTCCCAGGACTTGGGAGGCAGAGTCAAAGGGATCTCTGAGTTTGAGGCAATCCTGATCTACAGAATGAGGTCCTGGATAGCCAGGGCTATACAGAGAAACTCTGTCTCAAAAAAACAAAACAAAACGTGTGTGTGCATTTGTGTGTGTGGACAATTATGGAGGTCAGAAAAAACTAGCAAGAGTCGGTTCTCTCCTTCCACCAAGTAGGTCTCAGGGATGGGGTACAGGTCGTCAGACTTGCCAGCAAATACCTTTACCTGCTGAATCATCTCTTCCTCCCTTAAAAAAACAATTTTTAGTTGCATAATTTTTAATCATAGTAAGTTTCTGTAATTAATCAAATCTTGAACCTGTTCAGTGCTGTTACAAGTATATTTATGGGTCTTAACTCTGTAGAACTATTTTCTTTATTTATTTATTCATTTCTGTGTGGCCCAGCCTGGCCTACAGCTCGCCAATGTTGTTGAAGATGGAGACTGATCTTGCCTACCAAGTACTGAAATCATAGAGATGAACCACCATCTGCCTGTGCAGCTAGGGATTGAACCTGGCCAGGACTTTCTGCATGGAAGGCAGGCACTCTGCCTTCTGAGTATACTCCTGGCCCCTTAAATCTTTAGATGTTATACAATTAGGAAAATGTACTGGGGGTTGGTAAAGTAGCTTTCTGAGTGGAAAGTACTTTGCACCAAGCCTGAATACCTACGTTCAATCTCTAGACACATACATACACACATACACACACACACACACACACACACACACACACAGAGTCTCACACTAAATAAATGTAATTAAAGGGGGGGAAAGAGCCTAGGCATTATAGTTCACACCTTTAATCCCAGCACTCAGAGGATCTCTAAGTTAGAGGACAGCCAGGGCTTCACAGAGACACCTTGTCTTTAAAAGCTGAAAAGAGAAGAAAGAAACAGAGTAACTTCTTAGTAGGCAAAGATTGCTGTGCGTTTGAAGCCAGGATAAGTTACAGCTCAAAAACCAAAACCAGGGCTGGGGAGATGTCTCTTTCTATAAAGTGCCTGTTGCCCAAGCATGAGTTTTGATCTCTAGTACACATCCAAGAAGCCAGGTGTAGCTGTGTCTGTACACTATATGTCTATACATTATATGTGTCTATACACTATGTATGTCATCTATATACTGTATATGCTATTTATACATGACATGTCTGGGCACTATAGTGTCTATACAATATATGTCTGTGTATTGTATATGTCTATACATTATATTGCACTATATCAGTCTAGATACTATATATGATGGCTATGCACTATGTCTTTATGCTATATGTCTATACATTCGTCTATATACTATATACACTATGAAGTCTATACAATATATATGTATGCTATATGGCTATACACTACATGTATCTGTACAACACATCTATATGCTATACAATCTATATATTTTGTATGGTGCCTATACATTATATATGTTTATGAACTATGTGTGTCTGTGCACTGCATGTCTATATACTATATATGGTATCTATACACATATATGTGTCTATACACTCTAGAGTTGGGGAAACAGACAGATCCTTGGAGGCTGTTGGCCAGTTTAGCCAATCAGTGGACACCAGGGTCAGTGAAAGACACAAGGAAAAGTGATAGAGAAGGGCTCCTGACATTGACCTCTGGCCTCCACACTTACACACAAATATGAAAACAGTGTACAAGCTCATGCCACACACACAAACCAGCTCTCCTTGGAGCTGTAAAAGTGATGTCCTGACTGTGAGAATTTTAGGAATCAAAGTACATGTTTTGTTTAATAAACAGTGATCCATAGGTAATTTGGGGCTTCAGTTTCTAAATGTATAACATTTCTATATTTTCTTTCTCCCCTCCATTTGGCAGCATCCGTTCCTGAAACTGGCCAAACCATTATCTAGCTTGACGCCACTGATCCTGGCAGCTAAAGAAGCCATGAAGAGTAATCGCTAACGCCATCACTGAGGCCTTGTATTCTTTTATCAATTTTCTAAAAGAAGTTTTTTAAAACATGAAATTTTTACTCTGAGAGATGTAAAGAGACAGTCTGCATCACAAGGAGAAAAACAAGCCAACTTCTATTTTCTAAAGATGACCAAGAAAAAAATTACAGTAAGAGAATTATGACTTCCAGATGAGCCCCTGCTTTAGGGTCCAAAAGGAATTGTGGACTGCCTCGCTAGCCTTCCATTTCAGCAGATAGCGCTTGCCGTGCGCATACTGTGTGGTGTCTGCCACTGCAGTAGATCCTGTCTGTTGTCTCCTTTGGGATACTTCCATACTTGAATGTCAGATTCGAGTTTTTCTGAGTATTTCTTAATCTGCTGGTCTCACCTCCCCTTTGTAGCCCTTCCCTCCCTCTGCTCTGATCCTCTGGAGTTGTTGCCTAAATTGAAGGCAAGTGTGACAGAAATTATGTAGCTCTTTATATTGGCCAAGGAGCTTGACATGTTGTGATTTTTTATAGAAGTTAGGACCAGCGTTGTACATGTATTTTAGTCTAGAGCTTAAACTGAAGGGGAAAGTATGTGATTTTTACCTTTTTTAACAAATGTGAAAGAGTCAACTTCAGAAGTTTCATGGTAGGGAGTTTGACATTTGTTACATGTATAGAAAGGACTAATAATCTATATTTATAACTAAATCATTGATACAGAGAAAGACTCCACTGACTGTATGTTCTTAGCATTTTTGTCTTTTCTGCCTGTTTCTCCTCAGATTTGGCTTTAGGAACCAAAATGAGTTGTTCTTCCGCTTGGACTGCATGCCTTTGGTGCCGGTCCCTCTCCTTTTGTCCCCTTGGGAACGAGTGTCTGTATATGTTGCGATTTTAGGTATCGGGTTTTGTTCAAATCAACCCTTATTTCGCATACACCCGGGCAAGTAATAACCACTGAATTTTCAGAATTTAAAACTTAAGAACTGTTTTTCTCTTTAAAAGGAAAAATATTTGGGAGTAGCAGAAAGCAAGAGAGATTTGAACCTTGGTATTGTAGGCTAGTTGTAGAAATGAGATGGCAGTGTTGTAGAGATGAGGCTCACGGCAGTAAACTGTAAAGATTATCTGGTTTACAGTGCTCCCAACCCTTATGTTTTACTGCAAGAGATGAAATAGCAGAGTACATGGTGTTGGTGTAGTTTAGTTTTTGTTTTTCCAAATGAATATTCATGTAAAAAACTGGAGAAAGAGACTGCAATGTGCATAATGATAGTGATACTTGTTATTCTAAAGATTTAATGAGAGGTCTGTGACCTGTAGCGTTAGCTCTTAGCCTGCCCTCCCCTTCCTGTCTTTTCTCTCTGCTTCTCCTTATTGCTTTGTTGTTTTGCCTGTGGAGGAGGAAATTCTATTCTGCGTTCCTGGGGCCACAGAAGAGGAAGTTCTGTGGTTGGTTCAGGCACCTGTCCCTGCCATCCCCTTTCAAAAGAACTTGACACGTGCTTGCCATTCTGCACAGTACAGATCATGAGTAAATAGGTGTGCTCTTTGGGACACTTGGGGAAGGGGTCAGAGTTTCATTTCCTGTTGTGCCCATTCAGATACGAGGATAAGAAAAGGTCTCTGGGGTCTTCATAGCAGAAAGGTCTTCAGTGAAACTCCACACTAGAGCACTTAATGTCCTGTTGTCCTTGTGATTGCCTTTCTTTCTGGACTGCATTTGGCCTTCTACAACTGTCACTAAATTACAGAAACAACTGTATCTTTCTGCTGGGAAGCTGCAGTGTCTCTTGAGTTGCAGATGTGAGCATTGTTTGTAAACGGTTGTCTGGGTAGATGATAATGGTGATGCTGCCGACAAAGTAGAAAGCCAGCGAGATGATGGAACTGGTCATCTGTCCCATGACTGCTCAAGAAGGCACTCCATCCTGTCTTAGAGACCACGGGGGACACGTGCCAATGCCCCCGCCGCACGCTGTGACTCCACAAGGGCTTTTCCCTCAACAGAAGCAGTTTGGGGTTTGTATTTACAATTTCTTGGATGGTTACTTGGATGTCCATTGCTGGCGACGGACTTTGTCATTCACACATGACTCCGAGGTTAAGGGAGCTGCACTGTTGTTTATTCTCTCCTGACCTGGACAAACTAACCTGTAATAGTTTAATAGTAATGGTTAATTTTGAGATGTGTCATTTTTAAACAAAATAATCTTTAAAGCAATATAGAATTGTGATTTATTAGTTAATTTTAAATTAAAATGTTGAGATCCTGTTAAAAGACAATTGTATGACTTGAGATTCATATTTTTTTAATAATTGCCTCTGTATCCCTCTCTTTTGTCATCTCTTAGAGTAGGAAATCCCATTGAATCTACTTTAGTAGTCCTCTAGTGTTGTTAGGAACTGTCCCTTCCTTATTTATTGTCTTACTTTGTGGTAGGCCCAAATGTATCTATCTCTCTTGTTCCTTTTGCTGCTTTTACAGAACACTTTATCCTACCTAGAATAGTAAAAAGTGACTGCAGCGTTCCACACCGTGACTGGCACAGCTTTACCGTCATGTATTGAGTTCCTGGAACAAAGTAGGAGCCCTCTTCCCTTCAACATAAAATATTTAGGTGCTTGAAATGTCTCTAGTGACCACCTCCTAAACAGGCTTTGCCTTTGACAAGCAACTTTAAGCTGCCTAGAAGTATTTCTTATGGGTTCATGTGTATACACTATGTTCTTACCAGAACATGTTTACACCTTATCAGACCTTGGTTAGAGATAGAAGGGAGGTATTAAACAGTTTGCATCTGGTTTTGAATATGAAAATGTTTGAAGCGTACTGAGATCTGTAGTCAGTAAACTGTCAGTGTTATGGGGTTGCCAGCAGCCGCTAAGGCCATTTTCTGCCAAGCCTAGCCACTAGGATTAGAGAGTACTGACTCCTGCAAGTTGTTATCTGACCTCTGAATGTGTATGTGTGCACACATACATACACACACACAGTCACATGGGCAAATGTAATTGTTCTTTTCTTTTTTTATATAGGGTCTCTCTGTATAGGCCTGGCTAGCTTAGAACGTAGGTAGATGAGGCTAATCTCACTCAGAGAGATTCCCCTACCTCTGCCTTCCAAGTAGTGGGATTAAAGGTGTGCACCACCCTGTCCTGCACTTACACTGTTTCAGATTGTAGTTAATGGGCCTGGAGCTGTAGCTCAGTGGTGAATCACTTGCCTAACACGCACAAAGCTCCGAGCTGATCCCTAGTTCCAATAAAAACAGAAAGAATCTAGGCCGCTATTTGACATTACTGCATAATTTAAAAATTAATTATTGCTAAAATCCAATTAAACGCTTCTTTTTGGTTTTTCTAACAGAATTTTATAGCACTATACAAAACAGATTGGTCTTCCTGGCCGCCCTTGTGCCTGTTATAGATAGTTTAGTGGGTTTTCTGTAGTAGCATCTGTAAGGAAAATCCAAACATGCTGTACATTCGCTGACCACTTCGGCAAAGATGCTGGGTTAGATGATGTGGCATTCGGGAGCAGAGTCCAGCACTGGCCTGCTCCTTGAAAGAACTCAAGTCTTTCTCATTTGCTGTATTCTATATTACCCAAAGAGCAGAAGAAAATACACTGTAGCCTTGTCGAACATGTTTATTCTGTATCAGAAAGCAAAGCAAATAATTGGTCTTCAAAATTTTTGGTTGGAAAGTAGTCACTTTTTTATTTATTTATTGTTTTTCCTCTTTTGATAGGTGGAAATTGAGTTGAGTAAAATAACTTATTTCTGTTTTGTCTTCAAATTTCATATTGCCTTCTATTTTTAATTTAATTCCACATAATTAACTGTTCTTTGCTCTTAACTGCTGTATTTCATGACTGAATAATTTTGTTCTTTGAGAGCTAGAAATAAATTTTTATGTTCATTTTTTCTTTTCTTAAATTTCCACTTTTTGTCAGAAAAACATCAAAGAATAAATATTTAAAAGTCTTAATAGGTTTTCTGCCAGGCGTTGGGGGTGCATGCCTTTAAATCCAGCTCTAGGGAGGTAGAGGCAGGCAGATCTCTGAGTTTGAGGCCAGCCTGGTCTACAGAGTGAGTTCCAGGACAGCCAGGGATGCACAGAGAGACCCGGTATCAAGAAACAGAAACAAAAAAGGTTTTCAAAGAAAATACTAGGATTTTGAAGGGGAAGGAACAGACTGTCACATAGCCCAGGCTGTCTTCAAACTTGCTATGCAACCTAGGGTAACAAACTTCTCCTGCCTCTTGTTCCAAGTGCTGAGATTACAGACATATCCACCATATTCAATCTCACGAAGTACAAGCGCTCAGATACTGGATTTCACATATGTTAATAAGGATTCCACCAGCTGAACTGCATCCCCACCCATTATGCTAGTGTTTTTAATGATGACTGTTTTAGACCAGTTCATGGTGTCATGGTACCATATTTGTTTGTTTGAACTCAATGTCGCCCAAGCAGGCCAAGGTTTGTCTTGAACTCCTGATCTGCCTAGGCTTCTAGGAGCTGGGGTTACAGGCTGTGCCGCCACAGTTAGCACTATCTTGACTCTATTCCAAAGCTCCAAATTAAGAGGGGTCCTTAGAGAGCCTGAGTAGGGAACTAGAGAGATGGCTCAGGAGTGAAAGGTGCTTAGTCTTGCAGAACATTCTCAAAACCATCTGTAAGTCCAATTGCAGGGGATCACATGCCTTCTCCTGACCTCCCTGGCCACCAGGCATGGTACACATACATTCATGCAAGCAAAACAGTCATGAACATACAATAAACTATGGTTGGACAGAAAACACAATTCTTTATTCTAAATCGGATTCAGAATATACTTAAAAATACTGGTAGCTGGGCTAGGAGTTCAGTCAGCAAAGTGCTTGCCAAACAAGCATGAGATTGGAGTTGGGTTCCTAGAACCCAAGTAAAGAGCTGGGTGTAGTGCCTCACACATAAAGTCCCAGTACTGAAGACCTGTAGAGATGGGCAGGTCCCTAGGGCTCACTGGCAGCCAGCCAATCCCGTAAGTGACAAGGCACTACCTCAAAATACATGGTGAAGAGTTGACACCTGACGTTAGCCTCTGGCCTCCTAGTGCATATGTGGACACATAGCCCACTGCCCTTCTGATGTGCCTGGGCATCTGAGAAACTAATGTTTACCTGACTGAAGTGTAGCATGGGGACAGGAAGAAGGTAGAAGAGAGGGGAGTGGAAAAAATGTATAGTTCAATTAAAAAAAAACCAAAACACTAAAGTACATTACTTAGGACATGTTGTTTGTAATGGTGGAGTGCATAACTTGGTGTGACACCTGAAAGTCCGCTATGAAGAAAGCACAAAATGTGTATTGTTTTAGGCTGGGCTCCAAGGCATAGCTTGTGAAGTATTTATTAAACAATTGGGGCCGGGCGGTGGTGGCGCACGCCTTTAATCCCAGCACTTGGGAGGCAGAGGCAGGCCGATCTCTGTGAGTTCGAGACCAGCCTGGTCTACAAGAGCTAGTTCCAGGACAGGCTCCAAAACCACAGAGAAACCCTGTCTCGAAAAACCAAAAAAAAAAAAAAAAAAAAAAAGTTTTGGTTCTGTTCTAACGCACCCATTTTGGGGAGGGGGAATTTCGATGAATTAATGCATGATCTTAACATGGTATAACTTTATGTGCATGTGTTCCTCTCTTTGAAGTTTGTTAGCATGTATTATACATAATGGATTTCATTGTATTTTTCCAATATGTACAATGTCTTTGGTCCTATCACACACACCTCATAACTCTCATGTCTCTAGTCCCACTTTGTTTTTGTTTGGTTTATTTGTTTTGCAGCAAGGTCTTCTCTGTGCTCCCCAGACTGGCCATAAGCTCATAGAATTAAGCAGGGCCCTTACCTCAGCTTCCCAAGTAGCCAGGGCCAGATTCTCATCTCTGGCTTCTAACTTTTTTGCAGGTCTCAAAACCTTTGCCTAAGAACAGCTAAAAAGTGCCTCAGTGGTTGATACCAACTACTTCTATGATTTATTCTGTACTTCTCTTTGATGTCTCTGACAGTTCCCCTCTGATCTCAGCACATCCACACTTGCGAGCATCGCCAATGACTTCCTAATTAAATTTCACGGCTCTTGTTTGTTGTGTGTGTGTGAAGGAGTCAGTTCTCTCCTTGCCACTGTGGACAGACTTGAGCATGGGTGCATTTACTATTGAGCCAAATCCCTGGCCCCTTACCAGCTCTTTGTCATCTTTCTGAATGACTTCTGTTACATTGGGCATAGCTGACTTGGTACTGGTTGGCCAAGCAGTGTTTTAATTAATACAGTTCTGTGTAATTATTTCAGGTCTGAGCAGCCAGGAACGAATGAACAGCCTCCACCAAGACTGACTGACTCAAAAAAAAAAAAAAAAAAAAAAGGAGGAGGAGAGAGAAAAGCTGTTGCTGGGCAGGAGAGATGGGCCCATGGCTTAAAGTGCTTATTGGAAGCAAGGCTTGAGTTCAGATACCCAGAACCCACATAAAAGCTGGATGTGTAGCCAGCCAGGTGGTGATGGTGGTGCACAGCTTTAATCTCAGCAACACTCAGGAGGCAGAGGCAGGCGGATCTCTGTGAGTTCCAGGACAACTAGGACTACACAGAGAAACCTGTGGTGGGGGAGCTGGATGTGGAAGCAGGAGCATGTAATCCCAGCATGCCATGGGCAGGTGGAAGATAGAGACAGGATACTCCTAAGAAGCTATTGGGGCTCGCTGGTTTGTTGTACACAGCAGAAAAGGAGACCCTATCTCAAGTTTTTTGTTGTTGTTTTGGATTTCTTTTGTTTGTTTAGTTTGGTTTGGTTGGTTTTGGGTTTGTTTGTTTGTTTGTTTGGATTTTTTGAGACAGGGTTTGTCCATAGCTTTTTTTTTTTTTTTTTTTTTGGGTTCCTGTCCTGGAACTAGCTCTTGTAGACCAGGCTGGCCTCGAACTCACATAGATCCGCCTGCCTCTGCCTCCCGAGTGCTGGGATTAAAGGCATGTGCCACCACCGCCCAGCTGGTTTTGTTTTTTTGGAGACAGGGTTTCTCTGTGTAGCTCTAGCTATCCTGAACTGTAGACCAGGCTATCCTCAAATTTAGAGATCACCAGCCTCTGCCTCCCAAGTGCTGGGGCTAAAGATGTGCACCACCACTGCCTGTCAAGAAGATTTTATTTACTTTGGAAAGAGAGATTGTCTCGAGGCCGAGGTTGAGGACCAGCACCTGATGCTATCCTCCAACCTCCATGTGAAGTATGTGCCCACATTTA